GAATCAGTTTACGCACATTGAAATTAATAATCTCAACTAATTCTCGAGACTTAGAACTATTGATCAGATAAAAGTTTCAATAATTATCTCTATTAATAATCAAAAAACAACTTAAATTTACGAGCTCTTAAATAATACATTTAAAAGTCTTTACAAATAACCCTATCACCCCTAAATAATTTAGAATTTTCAATATTGACAACGCCCAAAAGTGTCACTGTCGAGACAAGATTATGCAAAATCCAAATTATTGGTCAGTGTAAAGTTCCATAACGTAACTCCATATTCAAAGTCAAAAGTAAAATTTCTTTCAAAGGGTGAGAGTGAAACACGTGGTCCTCAGTGATAGGACCGTCTACATCATAGCTTTTAAAAGTCTCTTATTTGATGTGGAATTTGTGTACTCTTTGGCTCCAAGGCACAAGTTATCCAGTTAGTGCGGTCAGTGACACTTACCAACAGTGTAGAAAAAAATTCCTCAGTGATGGGACCACGTGTTTCACTCTCACCCTTTGAAAGAAATTTTACAAGATTGAGGAGTAATCTTTTAAAAGATTGTTGATAAGACACAAGTTATCCATTTTGAAGAAATTACACCAGTAGAGTGTAGAAAAAATTCGGGAGAAGTATGGATCCCAAGCATGGTGAGGGAGAAAGTGAGTTATTTCGAGCTCAATCTCATTTGTATAAGCATATATTCAACTACATAAGTTCCATGTCCCTTAAGTGTGCAGTTCAGCTGGGCATACCAGGCATAATTTATAAGCATGCTCGGCCTATCACACTTCCTGAATTAGTCACAGCACTGGAGGTCCACCCTGCAAAAAGTGGCAACGTATACCGGCTAATGCGCTTGTTGGTTCACTCAGGTTTCTTTTCTAAAACAAAGGTACTTACCGAAAACGATCAAGAAGAAGAAGCATACGCTCTAACCCCTTCTTCTAGGCTACTAATCAAAGATGAGTCCAATTGCTTGTCACCATTTCTCCTGTCAATGCTTGATCCAGCTTTTTTAACTTCATGGCATTCTTTAGGAGGTTGGTTCCGGGGTAATGAACTCACACCATTTGAAAGTGCACATGGGGTCAACTTTTGGGATTATGGTGAACAAAACTCTGAATTTAACAACCTTTTTGGTCAAGCAATGGCCAGTGATTCTCAAATGGTTAATTTGGTTGTTCAAGACTGTAAGCCAATTTTTGAAGGATTGGATTCATTGGTTGATGTAGGGGGTGGTACAGGATCATTTTCCAGAATCATATCTGCAGTATTCCCCCACATGAACTGCACAGTATTTGACCTCCCACATATTGTTGCTAACTTGCCAGAGAGTAAGAACTTGAAGTTTAAGGGAGGCGACATGTTTCAGTCCATCCCTCCTGCAGACGCTTTCTTATTTAAGGTACGCATTTTCTCTAGAATGATAAATTCTATCTGAAATTCTGAATTCAGTTGTTAGACACAATATATTTTAACTTAATTTTCTAATGAGTGATTGGCAGTTGGTTTTTCATGCATTTGGTGATGAAGATTGCGTGAAGGTGCTGAAGAAATGCAGAGAAGCTACTGCAAGCAAAGGCAAAGGAGGAAAGGTGATAATCATAGATATTGTGATAGATGAAAAGAAAGATGAACATGAATTAACCGAAGCAAAGCTGTTTTTCGACATGTTGATGATGGTTGTTGTTACTGGAAGGGAGAGAAATGAGAAAGAATGGGAAAGACTAATCTTGGAAGCTGGATTTAGTGGCTACAAGATAACACCTTTCTTTGGTTTAAGGTCCATTATCGAAGTCTATCCATAGAAAGAACAATTCAGAGTTCCAAGCTCAATATCACATGTTAAATAAAGCATTCATAGCTGAACTGCTTTGTTAACATTCAAGCAGTTACTTGAGGGTTTTTGAATAATGGATTTGTTTTATATTAAATATTGTTGTTGTTTGAAGTATCTGCTAGTAGCCCTCTTCGTGCTCATGTGTTGTTCTAAGTCTGAAAAATCAATATCTCTAGGGTGCTATAGCTTCAAAGAAGACCTCGTGTAGTCATGTTTTTATGGTCAACTGTGATAAACAGAGCTCATCTTTTTCGACGAAAATGATCCAGTCTCCACTAGAAATGCTTTTATGCTTACAAATTTTCCAAATTAAGGATACTTACATGAAATTCGAATGCTTGCACTCTGATGGCAACATTCCAGGAGCAAAATTGTTTTCAGTCATGAAATCACCTGATGTTGAAATGTGAAGCCACTTTCACATGGCTTGGCATGCAAGTAGCTCACAATCTTTGACAGACTGGTTTACAAGCATGACTGGTAGTAAATTTGAAGTGAAAAATGGTGGGTTAGGTAATTTACAAGGGCAATAGCCTATGACCAAAGTTATGCAGAAGTTTTAAATGGTTGCAATATTTGAATTTGGCAATTGGAATATGGTAATATTAATTGATTTGGAGGTCATGGTTTCCTATAAATACCCCAGGACACTAGAATTACCAGCCGAGTAAGAGCTCCAATAACCACTCCTATAAGAGGTCATCAACTAATACCCCAAGACCCTGGAACTACCGACCATGTAAGAGTTCCAGTGATCACCCCTATTAGGGGCCGAAGTGAATAGAAGTCAGGACCTCTTGAATAATACACCTAAAAATCCTAGTTGACTACTCGATCACCAGTGGTGGTTTATATCTTTTACTTTACTCTTATTTTATTATTTTTATATTTATCATGATTAAACATTTTTATATGCTTTATTCTTAAACATAATCATATTTGATAAATGATAAGACTTTGAATAAATATATTCAACATCTTCAGGTGTCAGCAATGCCTCAGCAGTAAGGCCATAATAAAGGAATTGTATTCCCATCCTGTCCACTGAAATTTGCAAGCCAAGCAAAGCATAAATTAAAATTCAACAGCCGTCATCTGGGAAAATCATGTAACTGAGTTGAATATCATTGCATCCGTGTAGCAATAAAATTTTATTATCATCTGTTTATTTGGAGTCAACAGAAATCCTTGCAAGCCAAGGCCATATTTTCTTCTTTCTTTAACTAATGAAAGAGCCAGAGCCAATGGTTGGACGGCACTTATTTATGGTCAATCAGAAAAGCTTTATTTATGATTCCAGTTTAGCAGCCACGTTTGGATAATACAGTTATGTATTTCCTTACGTAGACAAATTTTCCATTTCAACTTTTCACCTATATAAGCACAAACTGAGGGATCAACCCCCATCAATAGAAGCAAACCTCACAACATGGATTCAAATAATCAAGGCCACGGATCTAGTGAGTTTTTTCAAGCTCAGACTCAGATATACAAACATGTATGTCATTTTATGGATTCCATGGCACTGAAATGTGCAGTCCAATTAGGCATTCCTGATGTAATCCACAACCACAACAAGCCCATTAATCTCTCAGAGTTGGCTTCTGCACTTCAAATTTCTCAAACAAAAACAGATTGCTTGCAGCGCCTCATGCGCCTATTGCAGCACTCAGGTTTCTTTGCAACAACCAAGATTGTTGAAGACCAAGAACAAGAAGGGTATATACTCACACCATTTTCTAATCTCCTGGTGAAAGATAATGTTGCCAGTTTATCGCCTGTCGTTCTAGCCCTGCTGGATCCTGTGCTAGTGAATCCTTGGCATTCCTTGGCGAACTGGTTTCAAGGAAATGATCTTACACCATTTGAGACGGCCCATGGAATGAGCTTTTGGGACCTTGCGACGCAAAACCTTGAATTTAGCAGCAGCATGAATGAACTAATGGCCAGTGATTCTCGGATAACAAGCTTGGTTATTAGAGATCATAAGGAAATTTTCCAGGGGCTGAATTCATTGGTTGATGTGGGAGGCGGCACAGGAACTCTGGCTAGGAAAATTTCTCAGGCCTTCCCTGAATTGAAATGCACGGTCTTGGATCTCCCACAAGTCGTCACTAACTTGCCAGAGAGTGAAAACTTAAAATTTGTTGCAGGTGACATGTTTCAATCTATCCCTTCAGCAGATGCAATTGTCATCAAGGTATGCAACTTTTCTCTTTTAGTTGTTTAGAATATTGCTTAGTCTTTAATGTTTTAGTGCTGACAATCGATGACCATTACATTTACAGTCAGTTTTGCATAATTGGAGTGATGAGGACTGTGTAAAGATTTTGAAGCGTAGCAGAGAAGCTATTGCAAGTAAAGGTAAGGGAGGAAAGCTTATTATCATAGACATGGTGATCGATGACAAGAAAGAAGAACACGATAGAACCAAAACAAAGCTCTTTATGGACATCATGATGATGGTTATGTGCAGTGGAAAAGAGAGAAAGGAGAAGGACTGGGAAAAGCTGTTCTTGGATTCCGGTTTTAGTCACTACAAAATTACAGCTTCAAGTGAGCTAAAATCTATCATTGAGGTTTATCCTTGAGAAGTGTACTTGTCTCCGTGTTTTGTAAGCTTCAGATGATTGTCAAATGAATAATGTACAATAAGCTTGATGCAATACCTTGCTTGAAATGGTGACTTGAATATCAAAATCGAATTTTGTTTTCTTTTCTCAATTCTCATAACAACTTCATAGAGTGTGTGATTTCCTTTGCTGTTCTGCGTGTTATGAATTAAGGAAATTACTTATAAGAACATAATTACTTGTGTTAAACATACAGTACTTTAACCTTGAATCCAGACTATCCAGTTGAATTAAAAATGCGTTTCAGGTCAATTGAGAAACCTGGAAAGATTAACGAACATGTGAAAAGACTGAACTGGTTGAAGATCAATTAACCTTGAATGCTACTAAAGTAATTGGCTCAATGGCTAAAGCTAAGCAATGGTTTTTTGAGCCCAAATTCTAAGCAATAACTGATATCAGATGTCTCATCAACAGTGGACACTTATGGTCAACATATATAACCAGATTAGAACTTCAACAAAAGCAAGTAATTAATTTGTAGTCATGTATGATGCAACATCTATAACTTAGCCATCAAAATGGTCGGTTAGGACTCCTAGCTCATTTTGGAACTGTCAAACTTGGAATGAGAAATCTTTCATATATATATACATATGTATGGTAGTAAGCTTGCTGGTACCCCATAATACCAATAATCTCCCCACTTCAACTACCCTAGGACTCTTTGATACCAGTTATAGGATCAAGCGCTTACCACTACGCCAAAAGCTATAGTTGATAGCCTAGGTGCAACTTTATTTCCTTATACACTTGGCAGCGCATAGCCCCATCTTTACCTGGTGGGAGCCCAAAAGGTGCTGCGCCATAAGCACCACAGGTAGGGCGGCCAGTCCCCATGCCAGTCCCCCATAAGACTGGCACGAGTCAAAGGGAGCTTGCTAGTATCCTATAATACCAAGTGTTAATACAGAAATCTGCACCAACCAGAGAATTCTGATCGACCTTAGCGGGATCGAAATGTATGTGTGCGTGATTACGGATAATCAATTATTGACAAGTATTTAATGCAATAAAGTAAATGGAAATGAGCGTTTTTAAAGTGGTTCGACGAGGTAAACTCTTAAGTCTATGTCCATTGCTTTTTGTATTTGCTGTAAGAGCTTGCAATGAGAATTTTGTCAAAATTTTGTAACCCCTTTTCCATTATTTGAGGGGGGTTATATACAAGGTTTGTGTAAAAGAAATAGCGAAAATAAAGGGAGTACAATTGATCTAAACTACAATTCTGATATTCTCGCGATTGGGCGCAATAATTACGCAGATTGCTGCTGATCTAGTCAGTCCCACGATATCTGAGATTTGAAGTTATCTGGGAATTAATTGAATGATCATTCAGGTTGTTCGCAACTGGCTTGTGCTAGGTCAGGCTATATGTCGACGAGCTTATGCTGGGTCGAACAACTGGTGAGTCAGACTGATCCTAGGTCAAGCCACATCCTCACGGTAGCCCAAGCTTGGTGGAAAAATCACACACAACATCTGCCCCCTAGTGTTCGATGCTCACTTCGAGCTTCGAAGACTATTGCTCGATTTGATACCAAGCTCGCCATTAACAACAGGTCTCCGGATGCAAGTTCGGCCGATCTCCTAGGGTCAACCTCATTTCCAGTCGACATGCTTCACACTTGTTTACTTCCTACAATACCTATTGAACTCAGAATATGAAAAGTTAGGGCAAATATGTAATTTTCATGCGGTCATGTCGCATTAAATACGGCAGCCTTTGTCAGTCATATTTCATTGCACATGGGCGTCCATAGTTGTCCAAGCACAAAGTCGAGGTGATGTGCGACGACGGTTATCAGTGCAACAATCGGACGGTTCGTCGCCCCTCATGAATGGATGGCACGTGGCCACGTTTAAGGGCCAAGATTGTTCGACGAATGAAGGGTCTAGATTTATTGTAGATCAACAGCTGCGATTAAACCATATCCTTTCGTCTTCCATGTAAACCACTATAAAAGGTGGCAAAGTCATCAGAATGCTCATTCAGTCCACGAAAGTTTTCTGACGCCTTTGTTCACTTCACTACTGCTTCATCGTCGTCACAATGCTCTTTTCAGCGAGTTTCTATACTTCTTTTATTCCGGTAAGGTTCTTTTCCCTTTCTTTATCCGTTTTTCCAACTTTCGCATCAAAGGATGGCTATTGTCGTGGCCACATTAAATATTCTAAGGCTTTAGTAGGGTTTTTGAATGCATCTTCGGTGCTCCTAGGTTTAAGCAGGGCTTAACGCAGTAGCCGTTAGAACCCCAGGTAGGTCGTGTGCATTCATCATGTGGCGTGAGCTATCCTAGGTGCCTGAACTGAAAGCAAGTGTGAAATGATCGTCGAGCTTTTTGAGCTCTGACACATGTTCGCTTCTGTTTCAGGTACCCATAAGCGAGCTATAACCATGTCTTCTTCCAACAGTCACACAATCGATCACATGTTTGATTCGCCTGCAAGCTCGGTAGTCATTGGGGATTCAACTCCCGAGGTCTCCGAGGAAATCATCATGTGAAGCTTGGACCCCAACACGTTAGGCTTTTCTGACCGTGCCTCGATACAATTGGCTCAATCTAGGCAGTCTCTAGTTCATAGGCTGCGAAGAGAGCCACAATCCTCGATCACCGTTGAAGATTTGGAGCACATAAAAGCGGTCTATGCACCGCAACTTAATTTGATGGTTTTGGTGGACTTTTCTCAAAAGAATCCCCCGCCCGGATGAGTAGCGATCTTTGAGACCATCCTAAGATGCAAGGTATCCATTCCCCTTCATCGTTTTGTTGACAACGTGTTGAAACGGTTCGACATCATTCCTCTCCAGCTGTCCACAAATTCGTATGTAATTATCATCTCTCTGTACATAGCATATATGATCGCTGAATTGGGCGAGCCATCCGTCGAGGAGCTCGTCCATCTGTATAGGCTTAAGAAAGGGCAAGACCAGACATACTACCTTTCCAAGGTGAGGAAGATACGTTTTAACGGGCTGGTCGATGTCCCAAAGAAGGTCCTGCACTGGGACTCGCAATTTTTCTTCTACGAAGCCCGAGAGACCCACGCCTTCGCTTAGAAATCAAGAAAGACTTCAACTTTTCATGTCTACGAGGATCGCTTTCGAGCTTTGTGTTCTCGTTAACTGAGTTGCTTTGTTTTGCAGTTAACGTCGAATAGAATTATCTCCCTATCGCAAGCTTGTAGAGGCTCCAATGTTTCAGGGACCTTCCCGACGGAGAGCGTAACGTTAACGAGATCATTACGCTCCCTCACCTGCGAGCATACGGTTTCTATCAAGACGATGCCAGATTTCTTACGATTTTGGAGAAATGTTAAGTTATCGTTTACTCGCACTTTTTTCCTGCGCAGATAAGTCGCTCATTATTTGTCACTTTTTTGCAGAGATATGGCCCGAGAAACCAAAAGGCCTAAAAAAGAAGATGTCAGCTTCGACGGTTGCCAAGAAAACATCAGCTACTTTGGCGACAAAGCAGCCCGCTGACGCACTGGCATTAAACACGGCGTTGTTGAGCTTGGGAAACACCCAAGAGCGAAAAAGCCCGTGACTACTCTAAAGGTAGTTGGCAGGAAGAATGTCTTCGAGCCCTAAAAAGGGTTGGTAAAGAAAACACTCGAGCTGATTTGAGGCTTGGGAAAACAAAGGACACCCAAGCAGCAGGATAGCTTAGGTAAGAAGAAAACAACCTAGCCTCTGGAGGGTTCGGGCAAACAAAAAGTGGTCAAGCAGCAGGTTGGCTCGGGCAAAGAGGTTGCCATGCATGCTAGCGGCCTAAAGAAAATAGCAGCCAAAGACTTGGCCAAGAAGAAGTCTGCTTTTGTAGGTGAGACTGGCACTGTCGGGGGGAGTAAATCTAGCTCGTCTCAACCGAAGAGTAAGAAAGTGGATGAAGCGGCCCAAGCTACAGTAGATGCGCTGATCGATCAACTCCCTGACCATATCAGCGTTGGGGCTACAACGGCTAGGGACGGAATCACTCCGCAAACCTTCGCAATCGTTAGAGATGCTGCTCTAATTGAGATGATGGCTTTGGTGTGCAGCTACGCAGCGAAGGTACTTGTAGTTTACTCCTCTTTTCTTTTACTTGCATGTTATCCTCGCTTCTTGCTGACTTTCCATCTTATCATTTTTAGGCTTCCATGGTGAGTAGGCTTCTTTATGATGAGTGCTATGTCACCTTGGAAGGCACTCATAAAAGATGGCAATTGGTAAAGACGAAGAAAAATGATGCTCTGGCCAGGGCCGAGGTTGTAGAGAAAGAAAATGAGGCCAAGCAGGCTGAGCTCAAACAGCTTAGGGGAGAAATGGCGACCTTTGGGATCAAGGAAAGGGAGCTCCTTGACAAGCTCAACGTGAGCGAGGCTGCTTGAGCGAAGCCTGAACCTAAGGCAGTTGAAGCCGAGAAGAATTTGGCACAGTAGCAAGGTGCCAATAACAAGTTAAATTTTGAGCTTTCCTCAACTCAAAAGATTGCCTCGGACTAGGAGGCCAAATCTAAGTAGTCTTCACTTGACCTTATCCAGGAGGCTGAAGGTCGATGGAAGGCCGAAGTTGAGGCCAAGCAACTCATACTTCAAATTAAGGAGCTGAATGAGGCCATCATTACTTGGGTCTGGTAGACGTTAGTCTTCCTTGTACAGAAGCTATGGGAAGCCCGCCCCTCAATCAAATTCTCTTTCCTTCCACAAGCTTATCAGAAGGAAGTCGAGAGGATGAAGGTTGAAGCCTGAGGAATGGCCTACATGTACTCGGATGACTCTAATGACGATGGCGAGGGCTAGGAAGAGGTCGAGGAAGGCAAAAAGGGGATCAAGCTCAAGCTGGAAGTCAAGGATCTGATAAGAGCTTGAAAATACATATTTTGTTAGTGATTCAATTGGATTATTTGTGGAAAAATGTGTTTAATGAAATTTGAGTTAATTATTTCATAAATACCTTTTATGGGATCACGGGGTGTATTTTGAGTATTTTTAGGTTAAAAATGATATTTGAATGAAGAAAAATTATGTTGATGGAATTTATGACGAGTAGAAACAAACAATGCAAGAATCGGCGTTGAAACGAGAAAATTGTGACGCGTTGAA